TAGTGAACCATTAACTGCTGGTAAAGCTTCTCTTCTGTTCCCAACACTTTGCTCCCTTTGGGACTCTCTACTTTATGCTCAAGACTGTTGACAAAAAGCCTTAACTTCGCTTTTTCATGTTGCATAAACCAGAGCCTGTGAATATGGTTATTGTTGTGCCCTTCAAAAGAAAGTCAAGTTGACGACAGTTAACATGGAGATTACAGTGTCCCAGGATCATTAAAACAAGAGCAAAGCTAAGGCACCAAGGATGACCGAAACGAACTGAGCTGGAACGAAGAGGAAAGCTTTGGGGCACTCAGGTGAAAATTCAGTAAAATTTTAGCAACGCTTTGCAGAAATTGTACCTCCTCCTGTTGTATTCCTGGATATTCTCTCATCCTGCAAGCGTGAAGCTAGCATTTAGAATCCGCTAGCTCTTCCATCTGGACATCCACAGTATGCCAGATGCCTTGAAGATATCTCCCTCACCAAACAGTTCACAGTCCTCCAGACCTTCATCACCAGACAGGCTACCACAGACCTTTGCTTTTCCAAGCTTATCTGGTAACCACCTTATGCTAGGGGAAAGATACCAAGAAATGACCTTTCCCTTTCAAAGGGTGAGCTCTCCTTACCAGGGCCTGGAATGGCTCCCTGGGAATAAAGACTTCTTCATTACAAAATTATAAAGTCACAGTTGGCCATCACTAACTACCTCTCATGAAGCTGTAATTGCAGTTCAGACACAGAAGCATCAATTCACTTGATGAAGCTTAAGGCAACAAAATTTAAGCAAAAAGGGTAGAAGTCCTGTGATCAACTTTGGAATTTCTTGCTCATCGAGGGTCCTGACAGCCCGTGGTGCCTGCTTGCTGCGGAGCAACACCAGTTGGTAATCAGAGCAGCAGCACTGGCAGAAGCTTCAGCTACACGTACGAGGATTTCCAGAGAGCAGCCATTCCTGAGCAACGTGTTCCGTTGGAACGGGTATGATTTTGTGAAAAGACGGGTATAACCTGTAGTTTGCTGCACTACAAACTCTTTGATCGTATGGGAAAGAACAATACCTGAATAATCACCATGTTCCTTGTTTTCGGGAGGAAGGCCAGGAACGACATCAACTTCAAGACTTTTTATGGCGCATTTGTAAGGGCTCCCTCTAGGCTGGTGAACAACCAATTGCACAAGTCATCCAAGTAATTATCTAGGGTAGATAAGAGCCCCGGTAGCTAAGCTCTCATGAAAAAACATGCCCTATATAACTACGAAGTGATCAGTCCTTAGCAGCTTCGACTATTTTCAGCTCTAAATACGCTCAGTGAAACCTATGATCATAAACACCAACAAATATTAGCTTGTTGGTAAGCAGTGATGGGAGTGCGTTGAGAACATAGTTGCAATAGGTGCTTTATTTTTTAGGGGAGCTCTTTGTTTTATGACTAACAGATAGTTAGCTCACAAAAAGAAAGAAAAAAAAAAAGGCATGTATTAAGGGTTTTTTCTTTTTTCTGTACATGCAGCCAAGCAACAGAGATGAGATTTTAAAACTAAACCACAAAAGAAAAAGTCATAAAAATGCTGTTCTGCTCACAGTTGCTGAAACACTTCAAAAATATACAATCCAGAAAGATTATTCTACTAAAAAAAATTACATAAGTTCAATGCTTGCTGTATAATGAAAACCAGCTTACCCCCTTCGCTGTGAGTCAGAATTTGGCTCAACCACATGAAAAGGGGTATCTGTATATCCTACCTAGATAATCAGGAGTGTTCCTGTGCATGTTCATACTGTTGCAAATTGTGACTTTTCTCACACAAAAAACAAACAAACAAAAAAAACAACAAAAGAAACCAGAAACATCTTCCTTTTTACGAGAGTTGCACTATTTGACCTGCTACAAAGCCACTTCTCTCAGACAGGACATGACAAGCTGCTCCAAATGGGCAGGAGAGGGACGGTTACCAGCAAGAGTCCCCACAAGGAGCGAGGCACCAAAGCGCGGCGTGCGTGATTGCCAACACGGCTGCTCTCAACTCGACGCCTGCAAAGCCTGGCTCCCCGTACGCGCTGCGCTGGCCTCACCTCTCGCTGCATCGGCTCTGAGGCTTCCACGGCCGTTGTTGCTGGCGTGTTAAACTACCTCGAGGCAGCTGCGCCCCCCAGCTTTGTGCCACCCTGCACTTGGAGAAACAGCTTGTCCCTCAAAATAAAGGTGATTCACACACTTTTGTTGAATTGATCTTTACTTTACCCCCCTCCTCTCCAGGGCAGCTGTTACCCCTTCAAAAGAACAACAATTCTGACCGCACAAACTCTGCTCCTGACACCCAGGGCCAATCCTAGGCAAATGGAGCCACCCAACAAAAGGAAACGGCGATTCCCCGCACAGTTTCGAGCGTGTTTCCCCCACCCCAGCCCGGAGGATGACGATGTCGATGAAGGCTTGTTCCTCTTCCCACTGTGTCTCGCGTTCTAAAATGGTGGCCATGGCTGCCCGGGATGCGGCTCGCGGAGGCCCCGGCCCCGCTCGCGGCTGCGGGGCCGGGCGCTGCTCAACTTGCGGGCCGAGGTCCCGCGGCGGGG